GTGACTAATAACAATTTTCATTTTTGGGTGAACTGTCCCTTTAACTGATAACAATTAAGATGTGACTTGCATCTTTTCACTCCTGCTTCATTACTATAAATGTCTGTTTAATAGCTCCTAAGTAACTTGTCCTCAGACAAATGGATTGCCGATGTTTGCTGAAGTGCTAAAAGCAGCAGGTTTCACAGTAAGAGTTCTGTCTTTGCATCAGCCTTTTCCCGTTTACCTTTTATTCAGACCTCTCTATTCCTTGACTGGCGATGCCATGGATAGCATTTATATATATTTATATAAACCTTTTTATATACTTATAGCTAGGGTTGCAAAATTCCGAGAATTTTCGAGACTGGAAACTTTCCATGGGAATTAACGTGAATTAATGGGAATAAACTGGAAATTTGCAAAATTGCAGGAACTGGGGACTTAAATGTAGTTGAGAACAATTCTTGCAGCATAATCTTGGTTAAAACAACCTGATTTAATGCATTTTCAGTTTAATTTCTACCCTACACATTGCTCAATCACATGCACACAGCTTACTGCAGGGCTATTGAGGCCACACCCCCTACATGCACTGTGCTTTCCTCCATAACATGAACAGATCATTTCTTAAATCCTGCACACAAAACATCAAAATGTCCATCTTGGTAAGTATTCATGTAAATTACATGAATATTACAAAAAATTGTTTAAAACTCGAAGTCTAAAAATGACCCTCCCCCACACACAATCTCTGGGGGATTCCCCTCCATTTTCTCTGAAGCTTCACTTGCTGCATTTGAGCCCAAAGACTACATCTAAGTTTTGATATTTCTTATTTATAGTCAGTTTTGGAAACAGTGGTTTAATTTTTTAATTATTATTATTACCTGTGATTTTTTTCAGGATTCTTTGATGAATAAAGAGTTAAAAAAAAGAACAGCATTTATTTAAAATAGAAATCCTGTTTTAACAATACATACTTTTATTCAACAAGGATGTGTTTAATTAATAAAAAGTAATAGTAAAGACTTATATTGTTAGAAAAGACTTGCATATCTTTTGCTCATCAAGCCTTCATTTATTTGATCTAAAATACAGAACAAAACAGTAATATTGCGCAGTATTACTGGTATTACAATTTAAAATAATGGTTTTCTGTTTTAATATACTTATATATTTATATATACTAGGGCTGCACGATAAATCGCATGCGATATTTAATGCGCATCTTGTCAGTAAAGCCGGTTCTGTAATCAGCGGTAAATCTCCATCACGTGCGGGCTTTCACATTGAGCAGCATTTACTACACAGAGCCGTTGTTCACTGGCAAGCTGCGCAAAACCACGTTCATAATTGCGCGATTTTTTGCGCAGCTTGTCAGTGAACAACGGCTCTGTGTAGTTAATGCTGCTCAATGTGAAAGCCAGAATCAGAATGAGCTTTATTGCCAGGTATGTTTACACATACTTTAAAATAGAAATCCTGTTTTAACAATACATACTTTTATTCAACAAGGATGTGTTTAATTAATAAAAAGTAATAGTAAAGACTTATATTGTTAGAAAAGATTTCTATTTTGAATAAACACTGTTCACAAGTTTTCATTAGGGCTGCACGATGAATCGCATGTGATTGTCATAAACACTGTTCACAAGTTTTCATTCATCAATAAATCCTGAAAAAAGCATCACAGATTCCCCCCCAAAAATCCCAAAATGTCATTTTTAAAATGTGTATTAGTTTGCATGCATGTGAGCCTATGATCAAACAAAATGTTTATATTTATGTTTGTATATGATAGTTTTATAAATTTCCCCAAATTTTCAATGAATTCCCATAAATTCCTGTAAATTCCCATAAATTCCTGGTAAGTTTCAAACTTGGAATATTTCCAAAATTCCACAGACGAAGTTCCAATGGAAAGTTTCCGGAAAATTTCCGCTCCTTTGCAACCCTACTTATAGCTCATCTTTACTGAGGTAGTAATGTTGCTTATATTAGCAAGCATAAGGACAGGATGGTCCTTTTGATGGATGGGTTGGCAGTGAAAGGACTGGAGAGAGAAAGAGAATAGTCTGTTCAGACAGCCTCCGATTCAGTGTCTCGGGATGTTTAACCTTGTTTACCTGCTCACCGGTTTTGTGGAGGATTGGTTTGGTTTTAAAGTGTGCACTGTCCGTCTTGCTTTCTAATATGGTGCAATATTAGATCAGCAAAAGTTCTCTTTTGTTCTTAACACATACAGTTTCTCCTCCTTTGCATTTTTATGACTATCACCCTGTGTTTCCCTCTATATACTACCGTTCAAAAGTTCCGAGTTACTTTGGAGGTTTTTTTTTTCTTCTAATTGATGTGTCTGTAAATCTTTTTCCCCACCCCTAATGTGTAGGGTTGCCCACATGTTGCGTTTTCATAACTACACAGTGACATGTAGTTTATTTATGGGTAGTGGAACAGGCAGCACATCATCAGCATACCTATCAAACTGAACCCAGAGCGGTCACAACTTGCACAACCATTTTTACCCCTCTCTGTCACGAAAACCGACCCCAGACCAGCAGCCTGACCCCTGAGCGATTGTGGGGCTCAGTGTCTTTCTTAATGTACCAGGATTTGTTGTCACTTCTTCTCAACATTCCTGCCTCACCCCTTAGTAGAGTTAAAACTGCGACCTTTGTGCTGGCAAACAAGGTACTTAACCATTAGGCTACCAGCGGCCTGAGCATTGAAATTAGGACTCACCTCAGAGTTTGTGCCTGCTAATGGCATGTGCTCGATATCGCACGCTCACTCTCTCTCTCTCGCTGCTACTTTATGGTAATGTGGCATTTCACTGTGGCTCTCTCGTTCAGCCAAAGGACAGAAACACTTTAGTTTCTATTTTTCATTGGCTCTTTTTTTAAGTGCACACTAAAAGAGTGCTTTTAGGTACGAGGGTTAAGTGTGTGTATGTGTGTGACAAAGACAGGCAAAAATAAAAAAATAATGTATAACGCAGATTATCATTTACAATTAAGTTTATTTCTGATTTATATTGAAAGGTCACATGGTGAGGGATGTATACTGTGTGAGCCTCGGAGAAGATTTAAATGAACGGCGTTCTTGTTCATGACCCATTTCTGGTTGAGTCGAGGATATTTAAATTTTTTAATTCCTGCTTTTACTTTAAACTACTCTCTTGCAGTCCAAGGATATTAAACATGCAGACACGCAGCACTTTTACTCCAGAGAGTCAGAGAGAAATCCTTCCTGCTGTAGTGTGTTGAAAGGTGGAAGGAGAGACACTGGGTGAAAGCGAGGGATGAAAAAGAGAAGGGTGGAGGAATTTATGGTTGTGCTCGGGTCAAGAGAGAAGATAGATTGAGTTCTGTAAATGTGGCTAATATACTTGCAGCAGTTGTGTCACCTCTTCTGGGACTCATTGCATGTGTGAGAGAAAATACGTTGTGTTAAAGGTTTCATCCTTACATGGCCCATGTTTTGATCTGGGTGTTGCGTCACTTTTCAACTCCTCCCAGGATTCTGGGGCCCCATGAAATGCATGCACACACACACACACTGTATCAGTGTTGTAGGACATTAGTTGCACTTCATCAGAGAATGCTCCAAATCCATTGACTTCTATATGGACTGGTGTGTAGGGAAAAATCCAAGGGTTTGTAAAAGTGACATTCTATGTAACCAAAAATTACTCTTACATATGCATCCAGCAGCCAATGAGAATTTCAGTGGGATTGGTTTGTCTTTTAGGAAATCCAATTTGCTCCATTCCCACTTGATTTCAGACTGACCTGGATCTTACACTTTCCTAGTCGTCAAACGCTCTGTCAAGAGTTTTTTCTAGTGTGTAAGCACTAGTAATGCTGTGATCCCACTTTTTTTCTTGATACTGCTCTGAGACAGCTGACAACATGTCAGTGCTGAATTGTGTCTAGTACAGAGTGCGATACATGCACACTGTTTCTTTGTGTTTTCAATCATTTCAATTTTAATGTGATTTCTTGTGTAAATTGTTACAAAAATTCAAGAAATTCTATTTTTAAAAGTTTTACTTTAGAAGTTTCTGTTCACTGTTTTAAAGTTTTCATGAATAAATTACATTTGAAAATATAACCAAATAGAAATGTTTAATTATAATAATTTAGTGTTGCTGTATTTTAGATCAAATAAATGTATTCTTAGTGAGGCTTCTTTTAAAAACATGAAAAAAAATCTTACTGACCTCAAACTTTTTAACAGTAGTGTTTGCATAGTGGAGAATGATTTTGAGAGCAGCAGACTTGAATTCCAGCTCGTTTGTCAGCTAAGGCTATCATGTAACTCCAGAACATTTGGAACATAATGCACGATTCGTTGCACTGTTTTGGACAACCATGACTAAACCTACTATTGGATTTGCATGCCTGGTGCTCATTCCATTTCAAAACGCCACCAACGTTCTGTCACTTTTCCAGGTATCAGATCAGTGTGTCCCAAGTAAAATTACTCTTAATGTAGATAGGACTTTTTGTCTAATGCACTCCTATATTCCACAACAGGTGTGTGTTTGCTGCGCCATCTGGTTGTTTCAAACCCTAACTATCAGCTCATTTAGCTCACTAGGTTTTAAAGCACAGCCACTATGTGTGAGGGAGGGAATGAGCGTGAGGGTAAACTGTGTGTGTGTGTAAGCATGACAGGAATGGACATCCTGAGCTTAATCATGTTTTGGCAGCAGCAGTTTAACCTCATCTGGAGCTGCCGGCTATGAAAGAGTCTGTTTAAAAGATCTCAGTGTGTGCATGAGAGTTCCTGTTACTGTGAAACTTGGAAATATATAAAAATACAAAACAAATATCATGAAATATATAATACCTCTTGATATTTGGCAACTTAATTTAGGGAGAAATGCACTGGAATGTGGCATCTTGCGTGAATGAAAGGAATGTTGCATTTCATGCCTTTTTGTCTGTTTTTTTTTTTCTTTCTTTTTTTCTCAGCCGTTTCTGATCTGTTTGTCTTTTTTTGTCTACCTGCAGAGATAACCAGAGTGAGGAAGGACATGTATAACGACACAGTGAACGGTCTGGTGGACAAACACCCCCTGGAGTTACCAGAGCCAGTGGGACCCATCGTACATCTACAGGAGAAACTCTTCGTACCAGTCAAAGAGTATCCAGATGTAAGTCTCACACAAGCACTTTGAACATTTTTCTGTCTTGTGCTGCTGCTAGACTCAAGCACAGTGATTGACTGCTACTGTAGTGACAGATGACTGACAGTTATAGTGTCTAATGAAATCTAGAGGTGAGAAGGTTTACTCCTGGTTCTCTAGCGGGGGGGGAAACATGTCATTTGGGAGTAAATGAGGACTCTCTGTCATAAGCTAGTTCAGCAGTAGTAGTTTTTATCAGTCCCCTGCAGGGAACTAGGAATGGTGCCGGAATGCCACAGGCCATGTTCTAGTAGTAGAGTGGGATCTTTTTGGAGTGTGTTCTGCGTTGAAGAGAACTGTTTCCACCAGCGAACACATGATGTAGCTTGACGTTTAGATGATCATGTTTGACATTTCTCTCATATTCGCAGACAGAAACACACACACTGGTGGCCCATGTCACACAGGGAGAAATTTTGCTGCCTAATTCTTCGGCTAGGTGGACAAGGGAGAGGGGAAGAGAGAGAAAAGGGGGGTCAGCAGAGCATGAAATGCATTTTCCCTCTGACGGCCCTGATAAAGGCCACCCCATCTGTCCCAGCGGACCACCACACACACACACACACACACACACACACACACACAACCCCAGGTTTCTCTCAGTTTGCAGCACAGTTAATTATGATGGAGGCTGCTGCTCTGCTTATCTTTATTTTTTGCAGAATGTTTCTTTTTTAAATTGGCCTTTACTTTAAGCACTTCCTGTAATGATTACTGCTTTACTTGAGAAAAATATTCTCCTTTGTATGACCTGGGAAGCTGTACATTAAGTTAATTTTACTATGGATAAGGGAGTATTGTTAGGAATGATGCAAATTTGAGCGGGGTGGGGGACGACGACTTAAAGTTTTGGCGTTTTACTCTCACCAAGACCATTTTATCAAAAATACAGTAAAACAGAAAAATTGTGAAACATTATTATAGTTAGTTATTCTATTTTAATATGCTGTCAAAATGTAGTTTATTCCTCTGATTGCAAAGCTGAGGGCAAATCTCTTTAATGTATATAGATGTTTGAGTGTGTTCATATGACTGTCTGTCTCAGAATAGCAGGAACAGCTACTGGAAAACATGGCTGACCGGTATAGAATGAACACCACATCTCTGTCATGCCATGGAAAATATAGAGTGACTGTTTGTGTGTTTGAGCAAATGCAAGTAGGAGGACACATGTGCACACACACACCAGTGTACATAGAATCCCCAGCTGACCCCCTCAAATCTGTTTCTTTCTCACTGTGCTCCCTGCAAGTCTCGCCTCATTATTCTTCCCCTGGTGGTTAGCATGAGTCACTGTTTCACAACACAAACACACACACACACACACACACACAGACAGACGTTTCCACGCTAATGTTCTAAACATGCAGGGAAAGGAAGAATAATTGAGCAGGGAAACGCTAGCGTTCTCTTCAGTCACAGTCTTTTGCTCTTTCAGGCAGGAGATTCGGCTCGGTCATCCAATCAGCATCTTGATTGAGAATAAAGTGTCCATGATTGGTGATTCGGAGGTGTTGATATTTAAATAATGATTTCTCGGTTGCCTTTCAGTCAGAAGATATTTCATTGGTGTTTTATAACGTAAACTCGCTGTATATTAAACACACTGCAGTTTGACACCTGATCTAGTTACAGTTCAGCTTGCTTTACATTTTGAGCTCAATTCACAATTCTAGCACTTATACTGTACACGGTTATTTTAAAGTGAATTCTAATGGAGGAGAGAGGTCTCGTTTAAAGTGTCGAGTAAGAAGGTAAAAGCATGCAGGAAGAACCGCATGTAGGTGCATCCACCAAGGTCAGGCCCCTCGTTCCAGAATAAACGTCCTATTGCACGCTATTGCTTTGGCAATAAACGGAAAACAGTCACTGCTTTTAAAATAAACAGACCCAGTCCTGGACTTTTCCATATGTGTGTGATTAGCTATGTTTCCATCCACCTATTTTTATGTGTATTTTGGAATATCGCATAAAAAAACGCTGGATGGAAACGCCAAGATGCGCATAAATTCTAAAAAAATGCACACAAACTATGATGGAAACACATTTACCAAATAAATTCCTCCATGCGCATCGAAAAAGTAATGTGACTATGACTATATCGACTAGGCTATATGACTATATGATGGAAACGGTGCTTTATTTGCATATGTTTTATTTATATTCCAGTTATTCCAGTTTTGCACAAGTTTAATTCGAATCTTTGGATGGAAACCGCTATTGTTTTCAGTATTTTCAAATTTTGTATTAAAGTTTATTTGTAACGTGCACAACCATATGCAGTGCAACATTTTTATGACTGTCCATATATAGAATAAAATTAACATGGGAATAGAAAGGACATAGGAATGAAAATAAAGAATATAAACATGAAACTAACAATGAATAGGAAATACCAGAAAAAAATATGTATAACAGGAACACAATGTAGAAAATAGAAACATGTATTCTATAAGTATTTTGAGCCTGAATCTAACACATACTCGTGGGTAATTAGGTCTTGGCTCCTCACTTCAGCACAGAACGTCCATTTCATAAAAATAGCTTGTCCTGCGAATGTGACCTGTTAGTTTACAAGTGTTTGTGTCTGTGAGCTTGTGAACACTTGTGCGGCCAATCAAAAGAGTCTAACCTTAGATCAAACATCGGGGTCGACCCGTGACCTTCAAAACATCTTTGAATGCACTCCAGTAGCTGCCCTGTTTATAAACCTCTGTCTATATACAGTAACAGTCTTTCTCTCCAGAGCTTTTCAGATAGAATAGACTCACTGGTACGTCTGGGAGGGGGGAAAAAAAAGATGGCTGACAGACCAGGTCTATCTGGAAGTGACAGTTCC